TTTGGGGGATGTGTTGAAGTGACCAAGGTTGGAGGAAGATCTGACCGCCTTATGAAGGAGAAGATCGATCATGCTTACAGAAGATTTGTGAGCAAAATAAATGAAAAATTGCTTTAACCCAGCACCTTATTTACAAGCATTTGATATCGACATTTCGCAATTATCTTCAACGGTGTTTCGGATTATTCGTACGAAATTGTTGATTGTTCTCATAATAGTATCACGCTTAACAAGAGACACAATTTCAATTCAGTGCTGACTTATTTTACTTTGTAAACATTCAAATAGACAAGACAATCACAGACGGTATCAGTAGCAAAGTTACATTTACTTCTGTATGTCTCAGAATTGGATCTTGCACGACTAAGCATGTCAGAGAGATAAACAAGTGCATCAAATGCATTTTATTCTCGCATACTTCATTTTACTATTAAATGAAAAGAAGCGACATTCAAAATGTCATATTACATAAACGTTCATCTTTACGTATTCCTATTGGATTTCCATCTCGATATACAACAGCCATGAATAGAAATAATTTATCAGGAGAAAATGTTAAAATTATCGAACATAAATAGTTTATGTACACCATCAAGAAATTTCATTTTGTAATGAATAAATGCGTTAGATTTTGAATATAAATCGTAGCGACGTATACTATTATTTTTACATGGATAATCTGTCATTATATTGAAGTATTTGTTGTTTAGTATCAAGGAGAAAAACCTTGATACTTCTTCGGAGCTTTTTCTATTCATACGCATAAGCACGCTGATATGAATAGAATGAGATAATTATTCATGTCATATCATAATTTTACAGAATAATTATAAAGATTCGGTGATATAAAGTTCATTCATGTTTGAAATTAAATATAGATGATACATCAAAGTTGGTTTATGTTCAAAGGTTTGATGAGTGTAAAACATTGCATATCATTTGTGTGCACAATATAAAATAACCGCCATTCACAAGCGAATATGTCCTCGATGAATATCTCAAATCTTCAATTCGAAGCTAATAACTTAAATTATGCTGCTATGATGTTTATTAGATGTTACTGTTACTTTGCTATACCTCTTGGTAGTGTAGGTCATTTATTGAGTATCTATATATTTACTCGTCCTTCATTACGATCCAATCCATGTAGTATGTATTTTTTGGCTGCCACCATTTTTGGTCTGTTACATACGATTTATGTTTTACCTATGAGAATGATTCAATCTGCCTTTATCGATACAGATCCTGGAGCTTATTCAGTTGTGTTTTGCAAAATAACATGGCTTTTACTAAATTCAATAAGGTAACTTAATATTTCGAGATGAATATTGCTCGTATTGTTTTCTTCAATCCTTTCATTTCGTTCTCCTTCTTTCTACGGAGATACACCGTTATTGAATAAACATATACTAAATAAATATTGTAAGAGACAGTAATATGAACATTATTTTAAACTGAGAAATAAAAATATGACAAATGGTCTAACTTTCACAGAAGAATCACATTTAAACGTATGTTTATAAGTCTAATATTGATTTTTTTTCTTCTTATAGAGGCCTAGGATTTTGGTTAATTGTTTTGGCTTGTGCTGATCGATATCTTTGCAGTTCTACATCAATTAATAAGAGAGCATGGAGTAGTGTTCGTGTGGCTAGTCGAACTATTCCACTTACTATTCTCATTGTCTTAATTGCTTATAGTCATGTTCCGATCTTTTTCAAAATTGATATTATACCAGCTACTCAGAAACCTATTTGTTATCCACCAGGACCACCTGGAACTTATCGTATAGTATTGTCTTATTTTAATCTCATCTTTCTTGGTTTATCTCCATCTTTTTGTATGCTTATATTTGGTGTGCTTACATTACGAAATATTGATCAATCAAAACGACTTTTTGTAATATCTTCGAACAATTTGTCAAATACAAATAATGAAAACATGCGAAAGACCAATAAACACATTCTTCGAATGCTACTCGTTCAAGTACTTGTTTATAGTGTAACAGGACTAACATTTTCTGTTGCATTAATTATTACAGCTATACAAGCTAATCGACCAAAAACTGTCTTTCAAGTAGCTCAGGAAAATATGATCAATGCAGTAGTTGGTATGCTTTCAACTCTAGGTCCTTGCTTAAGCTTCTATCTATTTACACTCTCAAGTAGTCTATTTCGAAAAGAACTTCAAAATCTGTTCAGTAAATTTAACCAAATTGGTAATCAGTCGCAGAACATTCAAACTCGTGCATCAAATACAGATCATATGAGAATAATAGCAACAACGAAAGTCTGACAGTACATTTGATATGTACATAGTTTCTATCTTCTCACAAAATTTATTCTTAATATCCTGTCAATATTTGATGTTGTGTTATCTGTCAAGAAATAAAAATTCAATTGTTGAAAACAATGACATTTCCAGATAAATTAGAGATGTTTCCAGCATACTTTTATTGCACTCGTCTATGTTCACATTCATAAACATATGAGACTTGACAGCAAGAGTAGTAAAACTACTTGAAGATGAACTGTGTGTAATAACTCGAAACGTCTTTATCATTACTGGATTGGAAATAACACGGAAGATGGATGGGGTGTGGATGTGGGTGTGTTATTCCCTTGTGCTAATACCCACACCCACAATCAAATATATCATAGTAGACAAAATTATAAGAACAATGTATTTTTTTTCCTACAATACCAATCATCTAACTTAAATCCAAATTTGACTTTGAATAGGCAATAAAATTCTGTATTAATCGCATTCTATACATGGACCATGAGAATAAGATTTATAAGAAACCAGCAACGCTGATTTTTAGAGCCTAGTAGACTTTCTGAGAATTAATTTTTCATTGGATTCATCTTATAGGACACGGAATTTTGTATAAAATGAGGAACCGTAGCGTGCTTTATTACCTTATCCGCGAGAATTACATGTGTCATAAAAAAAACGAAAAAAAAACCGAACTTTATTAAAAAACGACTAAATATCGACCAAAAACAATCATTTTCATGATTTTTATGATACTGGTAACTTTTTAAGGAAAGATCCTAGAAAACACAGCGATCTCTCATTCGGTTTAGAATGTTATACTCTTTCAGATAGTACTGTCAAAAACTAGTACTCACAGAAGTTTTCTTGAATCTGAGAATCACTATTTTCTGTTTTTTAGGAATCTTTTTCTCGTAATCAGTCTATGAAAATTGAAGGTAGCACAGATTTGATAGAGAATTGCATTATCTATTCAAAGGTCTATGTGGATTTGAGTACGATGCTTACTAAGGGACCACCTGAGGTGATACCTCGCGTGTGAGATGAGACCCCAGTCATTACGTAGGGCCTGTTGAAACTAGAGAATTTTGATCTAAAACTTCGTCCATGGATAGCTGGGTGTGGGGTGTGGGTGGGTGTGGGTGTGGGCGGATGTGGGTGTGAGTGTGGGGTGTGTGTGGGTATGAGTATAGAGAGGAACGACACCCACATCCATACACTCACACACCCACACCCAAAACCTTCTTTATCATTATTTACATTAAAATCTGGCCTCGTAGCACCACTCTATGGGAATATAGGAATATATAGGAATTGACCACCACAATTTATATAGGATTTTCTCGAACTATATAGGAAATATATAGAATACTGATTTTTGCTCAAGTCTTTAGAAGTCGGAGAAATCTTTCAATTGCATTGAAGATTATAGACAATTTTATTTGATATGTATCTGATGAACTAAAGAAAAATATCTGCGACTTGTGAAAAACAGTATCATAATAAAATATTTCTTTCAGAAATGAAAAACAATAATTTGTGTTTGATTTATTTTCAACTACTCTACAGATACTAAACTATAGGATTATAAACGCAACCAAATGCAATAGAGACCACAAAGAATTTATTTTTTGGTTTACACAATATAAACTATACCTCTTTTTAATACTATTAAAACATCTGTCATACCTAAAAGTATATTTTGAAATATATACAAGTGTAAATCTGTTTTAATTATAAGCAATCGCTGAATCAGTTGTAGTTTTTGTCGTTTCTGTTATTCTTGACCCAAATCATTTTTTCGTTCATTTCTAATCTTAATCAACTGTTCTGCACTTTCGACATCTGTTCCAGATCGTTTTACTTTCAGTATTATCATAATTAGTTAATCTTGTAGCTCTAACTATATCAAGACTATTTATTGATTGCGGATTCTAGTAAACGTCCACGGTTATTGGTGACTGTCTAGTCGTCTTCATGAAGTTCATGCTGAAAATTTTTTAGTTTCATTAATATTTCTTCTTTTTCTTACAATAATTGCTTACAGACTTCATTTACACAAACATGTTCTGTATTTTCTTCCATTAAACGTCTTATTGCTGCTTTCTTGACATTCAGATCAAAGAATATGCGACTTTTTTTGCGAGGAATCTTCAATTTTTCGAAAAATATAGGAATATAGGAAAAAACCTTGAAATATAGTCCATTATAGGACTAATTTTAAAAATATAGGAATTATAGGAAATATAGTCCCACTACGAGGCCAGATTAAAACCTAATGGAACTATTCTATGTACAAATTTAGCTTATGGTGCAGTAATGTTTACTATTGAAGAAGCAGCTAAATGGCATGGTATGTGTTACAGGCTCCGCCTTCACATATGTAGGTCAATCTTTTTTTTTCCCTCTCCTTCTTCTTTTCTCTCTCTCTCTTCTTTTCTCTCTCTCTCTCTTCTTCTTTTCTATACATGATATCACCTATTGTATTCTTTGTTATTGCGATATCGAGATATTATTTTTCTTTGTTCATATGATATCATGTATTCTTGCCGTCCATGTCTTTCTTTTCTCTCTCTCTATATATATGCGTGTTTACCTCTTTATCCTTGGTTATTCTTCTATCTTTTTTTTATATTAAATAAAAGATCTGAACCCTATATTCACTCTTATCTTGCTATCCAAATACGATCAGATGATGCTCCCCTAACAGTATGAAAATACGTATGATTGATATTCAGTTACCAATAAAAAGTAAACAAAAATTAATTCAACAATTTCAAGATGAATTGAATAATGGTAATGTTGACAATATATGTTTAGCTGTTATTGATCATAATACAAGTCAAACGACTATTATTTTTCCAATCGATGAGCTTACTGAACTATTGCATGCATATGGCATTCCAGTACTTATCGATGGAGCACATGGACCTGGTCAAGTGAATCCTTATCTCTCACTCGCTAAGCTCAAATGTGATTTTTATATTGGAACATATCATAAATGGATGTATGCAGTCAGAGGCTGTTCGTTTCTTTTTATTCGTGATTTATCTATTGCTAATCAAATTCAACCTGCGAATACAACATGGGGTTATCGTTCACGAGCTTTTCAACTTGATAATATGACACATTTCCATTTAAAATTTTTTCATCAAGGTACACGTGATGAATCAGCTCTATTTACTCTTCCAAAAGCAATTGATTTTATTAATTCAATGGTTGGTGGATTCGAACGTACTTATGAATATAATTCAATATTAAGTTCTCAAGCAAAAATTATGCTTGAACAACGATGGAATACACAAGGGAAAGATCTTGTACCAAATGACACGCAAGCACCTTATTTTAAAATGATTCAATTACCTGATTTACGTGAATATAAACAGACTGATACTGAAGCAATTCGTCTTTTAACAGATCTTATTATTTATCATAATCTTATTTCTATGATTGTATGTGTTAATCAGAGATGCCAACAGGCCACTTTTTTCTGGCCTGGCCTGGCCTGCTGCCTGACCTGGCCTGGCCTGACTTAACCTACAGGCCAGGCCAAAAATCAAAGAGTGGCCTGCGGCCTGGCCTGGCCTGTCCTGGCCTGACCTGCAGGCCAAACCAGGCCAATTGATGTTTCTGATTTTTCAAATCCATTAAATTCTATAACTCTGTATTAATACATGGTTCCAATTTCAATTATTTATTTAATTTATTTTCATGAAGATAATGGAATAACAAGTTTTTGCACAAAATAGCAAATTAAAACAAAGAGACAAACATCTTAAATATTTTTCGTACAAGAAAGACTTGAATTTACGAAAATTTTTGATGAGATCAATACTTCTTCACATAATCGAAAGATGTTTAAGCATAATAACAAAAACAACATATGATCCGGGATACGACGAAGAGTTAAAAGAAAATATATAAGTAAGACGTAGGGAATAAGAGGGAGTAACAGCAATAAGAAAGAACATTTACATTTGACTATTCAATTTGGCAACAGTACGAGTGCAAAGCACATTATCCAATTGTTCAGGATCTAAACAAGTTCTTCTATTAGTTAATGAAAGCCCTGCGATACTAAATTGCCGCTCGATTCCAGCACTAGTTGCTGGAATACTATGAATACTTTTGGTGCCATCTCATGTTTCAAGATGACTACCCATGTAAAAAAAATTATTAAAAATCAGATTAAAAATCGATTAAAATGAAACGATTTTAATCTGATTTTAATCAGATTTTTCAGCCTTAAAAGACAGATTTTATTTGACTTAATCTTTTTTAATCGATTAAAATCGATTAAAAAACTTTAATAATCAATTATAATCGATTTTAATCGATTAAAATCAGATTAAGTCAAATAAAATCTGTCTTTTAAGGCTGAAAAATCTGATTAAAATCGTCTCATTTTAATCGATTTTTAATCTGATTTTTTTTACACGGGTACTAGAGAAATCAATATCATATCGCAGCCAGGCCACTAACTTTGGCCTGGCCTGTCCTGGTAACCAGGCCGAATATTAGATGGACGGATCAGGTCAGGCCAAAATTTTAAAATTTAGCGTGGCCAGGTGGCCTGGCCTGGCAGGCCACCAGGCGCCTGCCAGGCAGCAGGCCAGGCCGGCAGCTCTGGTGTTAATCAACAACTTTATATTCGTATTGGAGTTCAAATTTATAATCGTATTGAAGATTATATTTTTCTAGCTGATACAATTCATAAATTAAAATAGAGAAGAAAAAAGAAATTTTGTTTCTTTTTAAATATGTTTTCTTTTTTGTTTTGAGAAATGAACGATATTTATTTATTTGTTTTTAACAACAACTTTTATCAGAAATACCATCAAGTGTATTTTATTCAATAGGACAAGATACAATTTTTATGCATGAATATCAAATAATTGTCGTAAAACTTGGAGATGAATGAATTACTAATAAAAGTCAATTTGAACACGTTAACTTATCGAATATGGATTTATTAAAAGATAATTATACGAACTTAATTTTAATTTATGATGCTGGATCTTTTTTTGTTTTGTTTTGTATCATTTATGACACAAAGAAATGCGATGTTTTTTCCTTGAAAACTCAAGTAACATTTATAGCTTTTATGTATTTTTTGTTCGAGAAATAAAACATGAAGAAAATATGTCGTAAGATAGATCGAGAATTTTCAACTTTGAATTTCGTTTTTTTGATTGTTAAAAAAAAACAGCATTGAAATCAGTTTTCAACCTAAAAGACCATCAATATTCCATTAGAATTCATTGAAAATAGATTTATTCGACGCACAATTTTTTTTTCTATCAGAATCTATAAAAGACTTTTGAGGACAATAATCTTTTTTCATCGATAATTATCGAATACTGATCCGAATGGATTCTATGGTCGCTAACAGCGATATTTTAACTCTGCGAAGGATGTGGGTGTGGAACCATTCTTGAATCACATTCACATCCAAACCCACACCCACACCCATGCCCACTTCACGCTGTTAGTAATAAATTTTTACTTAATGAAGCTGAGCAATTAATATGAAAACTTACGCGTTCAATTACTGAAACAGTTAAACTTATTCAACAAAATATTCAACTTGCTACAAACGACATAAAGAAAATATTCTTAAAAATCCTGAAATGGAATCTCAAGATTTATTACAAATTGACGTTCGAATTGTGCGATTGGAATATCTACGAACAGTTTATGTTAATGAAAAGTGTTATTAACTTATTACTGTTAATAATGAGATGAAAATCGTATACACATCGAAATGTCATGAACGATGTTATTGTAAAAGTATTCTACAAGACACTATGATCAATTTAAGCATGAAAGAGTGCGAAGCTATGGACCAGAAAACAGGTAAAATATTTTCACTTTTACAAATCAATTCGTTTATCAAAGTTTGTTTTCATTTACACCCACACTTATCCTTCTATCCTTTTATATGTTTCAACAAAACAAACCATTCAACTTGTCGATTCTCTTGAAAAGATTTTTTTGTATTGGATTGTTATTTTCACTCAGATAACTGTTTTCTCACAACATTTTTAACAAATAATTTGAACTTTTTCACTTTTCAACAAAATAATCGATTTGACTGATGTAGACACATTTGATTTTAACATAAATATGACATTTTTTTCGAAATTTTAAACAACTTGTCATCTATTCAGATTATTTATGTATATAGAATATTTCAAAAGTAATCTATCAGAAAAAAAATTTGCATATAAACACCGTATTTCGAACAAGTGCGTTGATTTTTTTTGTCTGATGATAGAGCAGTATTCTAGGTTTTTCTTCATAAATCAACAACTTATTGACATACATGAAACCTAGTATGATCTAGTTCAATACGGAATTTAGCCTTTTCTCAAGTACTTTTGCCTTAGTAGTCAAGCATAAAAAAATGGAATGTATTCCAAACCTTTTTGACACGTCTTACAGTTTTATAAAACAATTTTCAAGAAATGATGGTGTTACGATTGAAATACTGGAAATTGTCGAATTACGACAAGGTTCTGAACCAATTTAACATTCCAATATTTTGATGCTATCACCATCATATGTCGATGAAAATAGAAAACTTTTTTAATGAAAATGATCAACAAAAGAAGCTCTACAAAATGGGATATGACAATAAGATTTTGGATCTATTTTATGTTTTTTAGTTGACCACTCATGGAAGTCCTCTATCAAAAATTATCTATAACCTGACAAATTCTTTAGGAGTGTAAGGACATTGAGAAGGATTCCATATGCTGTTGCAAAAGTCAGATAGGCTAGCAAAAACTCAAAAATTGCAATTAAATTATTTGATATATTGTGAAAGTTTCAAAAGATGAAGAATTAGACTCATAGAAAAGAAACTCAATTTTTTTTCCTGATAAATAAAAATTTGGAACTATGTCTGATCAATATCATTTTATCATATTCTATTTGGCTTTTTCAAACCTCTTTATTTTTGAAGAAATTTTTCATCATGAGATGTTCATCATTGAACTAACAAGAACTTTTTCGATAGAAATAAGAGGATTTAAACATGACATTGTCTCACTATTCACAAATATGAATAAAACAAGTTTAAACAAAATTCAATACCGAGAACTAAATAAGAAAATAATTGAATATTGATTTGAAAAATGATTGATATATTTACGAAAAGTATTGAGACTTTCTATAACAACATCTAAACAAACTCTGAAAGATAATTTGTTAAACTAAATTTCAAATAGAAAAAAAATTGAAAAAATATATAAAAGTTTTCTTTCGATAAGACTATCTTAAATCATTTTTATTATCTTTAAAAAAAAATCTTTTTAACCGTTGTAAAATGTTTCAATATTTGTTCATATAATCATTCAATTTTTTTAAAAATTATTCATCTTTGTAACTTACAGGAAATCATTGATAGATAAACATATTCTTCATAACATTTTCCGATGCGATGATTTATTCTATGACGAAAGTTCGACTGATCAAATCTCACATAAATCTATATCTAAATTGGTGACTATATTAAAGTTCATTCAATCTCGGATTGAACTAATCATTTTAGAGCGAATTTTAGATTTGCTAACATCAATCGATCTAAGAATAGGAGCATTTATTAATGAGAATCTATTGAATATTACAACTCATGTATTAATCGATGAAGTTTGTTAATTCAGATAAATTATATGAATTGGTTTGACTTTTTTTTTATTGTTATTTTAAAAATATTTTGTAGGTAAATGTATAAAATGTGGTTGTTCATGAAAAGAGCATCACCGTATAACATATGGATATGGAAGTAATATTCGCTGTCTTAACAATGTATGCTCATCAAGTGATATTGATAAAGTAATTAGTGATTTAGAAGATGAAAAAACCAAAATAAAAGATATTTATATAAAAAACTTTCCAAAGTTTTTCATGCAAATGCAATTATTCCAATAAATGGTGATATATTAAAATATATTAGAGTTTTTATAAAAGAAGAACAAATGAAAAAAAATTCTGGTTGTAAAAATAATGATACTATTCAAGGCCTTGAGCAAATGATAAAAGTTTATGCAAAAGAAATAAATTTATTTAAACAAACAATAAAAAATGAAAAAGATGCACTTCAACCTAAAGATATATTTCCTTTAGTTGGAAGTATTTATCGATTACCTATCAATGGAAAAAAAATTCATGAACAAACCAATGCATTAAAAATAAGTCAAACTGATATTTCATTAGAACAAGAAGTTTTTGCTGAACTATCAGCTAAAGCTAATTCATCAACAATAATGCATCAATTCAAATTCATTATTTCCAACAAATAAATTTGTTTTTACGTTAAAACTTAATATGATAAGAAACACTAGAAATGATTTACCTATTCAAGACATATACCTATTTCATAATATATCGTTTTGAATGTTTTTTCTGTCGATGATTATTAACAAAAAAAAACGTCGGAGTTTATCACCAATCTCAAATCAATAAATTGTTTATGTTGTTTTCAATATTACATCATCCCGCATCATATTATACTTAGGATTTGAAGTTGTTCTCAGATTTTCATGTGCTTAATGTCTACACACCAGTTACAATGCTTTACGTACGTAATTTCGTTACTAATAAAGACCATCAATCGTAGAATGTTCCAATAAAACTTCTCCAATCTATTTTATAAATTTAGTTTGATGCGACTCGAGTTGCTCTTCAATTTTTTTATACTGAATATTTTTCATTGTTGCTTTATAATAATTTCTGAACAGAAAAGTCTTTCGTCAAAGGATGTGGGCGTGAGGCATGGTGGGGAACGTATGCGGGTGTAGAGTGTGGATGTCGGTGGCGGTGTGAATGTGAGTGTGGGTGAATAGTTTCCCCTTAGCCACATCCATAAACACCCACACCCCCACCCGCACCCACATCCTCTTTTGAACACGACAGGTCTCGAAGACATTTCTCATCCTGTATTTCAGAATGAACAATTCAGGCAATACAAAAATGATAACACATAGCCATTATATGCTTCAACAGCCCAATTCACATACTTTCTTCCTAATGAAAGGCAGACAATGAAGCAACAAAAAAGGGTATAGAAAAGACAATCATTATCAAGCCAAAAACGATTGAAATTACGTCACCTAAATAGCTTGGAAATGCTCATATAACGGAAGTGACGGAGATCTTATCATAGTAACATATACTCGATAATCCGTTCTAAAGATGGATACAATAATTAGGGACGCATTGGTTTCGGTTTTTATCGGTTTCAAATAACCGGATATCGGTCGACACCATGCATAGAGAAATCGGAAAACCCAGGTCGATGATTCCTGAAGCAGCATTCCATGAACTTCCGGTGCAAATTCGCAGGAAAGGCATCATTTTCCGTCGAAACCTGCCGGGAAATATCAGGAATTCGGCGCAAAAACCGGTGATCATATACGACTGCCGATTTTGCCAAGTTCTGGACAGTTTCGCACGGAACTGCATAAACTCAGTCACCGGATTTTTGCTTCCAAGTTCCTAGCATTTCCGGTGTTTTCCTGCACGAACTGGCTCGTACTTCTCGACCTGGGCAATGAAAAATCTAATGATGATCGGTCCTGCCTGATTCCCATCTCAGTTCCAGTCAGTTCCGGTTTCGATTCCGATTAGTTCCAATCGGTTCCGGTTTCGGTTCTTAAACCGAAACCCGTGCACCTCTAGACAGAATCATTTTCATTAAAATCACTCTAATACACGATTGATTTTACTATAAAAGAAAAGATTTCTATGATACAAATTCATTAAAACTCGTTCAACTTCACGATTATTACAAGCCACCCAAACGTAGGACAATGGTCTCAATCAAAATGCTCACTAATATTCTCATCAATGAAATAACTCATCAATTACTAAATCATCATAGAGCTTATTTTTTTTTTTTTTTTTTT